GCGTTTAGTGCTCACTGGTCGGCAATATCACACTCCTAGGCGCCTAAATAAGCGCGTTTAGTGCTCACTGGTCGGCATCGTGGGTTATGGGATCGTGGGTTATGGGATCGTGGGTTATGGGATCGTGGGTTATGGGACCGTGGGTTATGGGATCATGGATTATGGGATCGTGGATTATGGGACCGTGGGTTATGGGATCGTGGGTTATGGGATCGTGGATTGTAGGATCGTGGGCTATGGGAGCGTGGGAAATTGAATGTGAGCTATTGGGTCATGACCGAAAGAATCTTTTCCCGCAGCCGAACGAAATCTTCAATCCGTATCACCCGACTTGATTCGGAAATGGAATTGGTTTATCAAGTTTCCAAGTTATAGTTTATCGTTAGAGTAAGTTAGAATTAAGATTTGATGCACGCTGATTTAGAAGAAAAGTTGCCAACATACCCCGAATCTGCATAATTTATTAAGAATGGAATAAATGACAGTTTGGTGCTTTAACACACACACTGTGATATTTCGTAAACTATCAATTTTTGGGTTGCAATATCTATGTTAGGATAGTTATTTTTGTCTACCAAAATTTCTTTGTAAGCTCTAAATTCTTAAATTTTCTAAAATTTCTTTGTAAGTTCTGTAAATTTCTGCAAGCTCTAACAGATTTTCACGATGGTAAAAGATGGAAAGACTATAGCATAATTGATATACAAAATGTGAAAAGTTGTCAACTCTCCGGGTTTTTGAGAATATTAAAGCGAATAAAGGAAATAATTAGTGTAAATAGGTTTTACATCCCTGGCAACTGACTAGGCATTTCATCGAGATCTTATGGAGTCAGATCAAGCGACAAATTTTTGCACTGATTGCGAACACCGGGTTCGCGAACCCGGTGTTCGAACAACGGGTTTGAACTGGGTTTGCGAAAACCTGCATAGCAATAATATTCAAGATTCAACACACACAAATTTTCCGTCTCCATTTGAGTTCCCTTCAGTTTATATCAACGATATTTTGTGCCCCTGAGTTGAATATATGATAAGAATCATCAACATAGAGCCGAAGCCTTTACATGGACTGGTACCTATCGTGCCTTCCGTATAATTTTGAATTTAAATTCAAATTAATTAATTAATTGATTAATTGCAATGCATTTTTTCGTGCAACGAAGCAAACTACTATACATTGAAATCTTACTTATGTATGTTTTGTATTCTCCCAAAAAATGTTATTTCAATTTGAATTTAAAGCTCTACTACCAACTATATATGCCTTTATATGCGAGTTTCAACTCAATTAAGCGAGAAAACCTCCTATTTTCACGCCAGAGCTCAACATCACCCTTTTAACTCTTCGTTACGAACCATATTTCCTGTATGCTGTAAGCAGATCAAATTTGGTCCTCGAGGTTGCCTAAATTCGATCGAACGAAGTAAATAGAACAAATTCAAAATGACAACAAGAATTAGTACACTAAAAATATTCATTTAATATGACCGTTCGTTAAATGTTCTTTTAACAAACAATGGTTTCAATGAACTGTTTGTTCGTTCACCAATTTTATTTTAATGCGTTGAGGAGTAATTCCCATTAATTAGTCTTGAATTTAGGATCTTTTATTTCAGAACGACGCTACTGGACCACATATGCCGATTAAAGTGATTATTTCCCTCATACATGAAATTATTTTGGCTCCCCACAACTAGAAATGCAATAAAACCGCGAGCAAAATTGGTAAATCCTACATGAATCATCAATTAGTTTACTACTCTAGTCTTGAGTCAAAACAATTTTTACTATTTCTATGTAAGGGATCTTCTCTCGAAAATTACATCATTCAAGAATTCTTTTGAAATTTCTACATTTTGAGATTAATTTGGGGGACGTTCCCAAAATTCATCGTTGTCCTTTTCGTTATCCCTGAATCTTTCTAATTAACCTCCTAACCTTAGAAATTTTAGGTCTAATCACCAGATTTGGCATGACTTACACATATGAATATGAAACATATGAAACACATATGAATATGACTTATAACACATATGACTTTGGCATGACTTCAACACATATGAAAACGCATTTATTGGCCCCAAGGTAAGGCTGGGATTTACGTTGCAAAAAAACTCGTTTTCCTTCATCATCTCAAGCCTCGCTGGTTTAGAAAATTGTCTGTGCCGTGCCAGCCTCCATAGAGGCAGGATGTTTCGAGCATGTGTGCCGCCTAAATCACCTATGCGGGACAGCAGTCAGCAAGCGAACTTTTGCTGAACTTTTGAAAATAATTTTTGTCTTATTTTACATCAGTGGAATTGTTTATATTGTAAAATTGTGGAATTTTGTTCTATGCTATCAATTCGTATTTAATATTTCTGGAGCAGATTTAACGATTAGATTGCATTAAAATTAAGTGAATTAGTTACAATTAAAGGAGTTCAGGATTTGATATTAATACTAATTTTAGAGTCAGTTCTCATTAATAAATTGGCTTAAAGCTAACAAGCGGCTATTAAATGAGTAACAGTGCTTATAGATGAATTACGTAGCAAGAAATTTTAATGCTAAGTTCACTGAGAAGAATTTGCTTGGTGTCTTGAAAAATGTGATATCTATGTGTTCAGTGCTCAATTGAAATGAGTTCTCGCTTATGCCATGTGTTACGAGTCGTGCAATGAAACGCGCGTTCGATCAGTAGCTGCCATACTCAGATTTTCTCGCAAGGACCAGTAAAAAAATTTCGAGTGCACATTCTCATGAGGCCAACACTTTATTGCAGTACTGCAATAGCGCTTCTATCTATAAGATTAATAATTGGTAGCTTGAAACGACCAAAGGATTAATTTACGGAGAACCTATGAAAAAGTTGTATTTATTCTATTCGGAATTCACTTGCATTGTCAAGTAAGGAATTTTAGGCCTTTATGTAACGATTTTGGGCTGTTAATCAATTTTCATGCAGTTTGGAAATAATTGTATTATCAGGCATTGTTTTGACGGCAGTGACGCTGAGTTAAATAAGAAACATCCCCTATACTTCTGGTTGAGAAAGATACTAGCGTACTAGATATATTCTACTAAAAGATAAATACTATAGGAAGTTACTTGTATATTATAGTGGTAACCGCTCTTGTGTGGTAATGCTGATACTGGTTATCAATATAAGCAGTGGCACGTTTCGTGACGTTTTTATTCATAAAATTCGCTCAATGATGTTATTTCGTTGAAAATAATTTAACGTCTTCATCGCATGCTGTTTCTCATAATCCATATTCGTTTACAGAAGTTATTTGCTTTTCTTTCATTTTTTAACTTAAATAGGATTTTTTCACAGAGGTTTCCAGAAGAAACTGTTCTTCACAAAAATAACAGATTTTGACGCTTTGAATTCTTGCTTTGGTTCTGCCATTGTCATCGCGCATCATTTGCGGTCCATATAACCGAATGACGTTGCTGTGACGAACTCTGCGTTGCGAGGTGGGGTATTTTTATTTGCTATTATACCTACATATCTAATCATTCGAAAATATTTTCTAATGATATACCGTCTTTAAATGTTCATTGTTGAATTATAAGAAAAACTAGAAGAGAGAGAAGCGACCTGATGACGAATTCTGTCGATATTAGACTACTTTGAAATTTTTCTAACATTATGAAAATTAAACCTTACAGTTTCGAAAAGAGACCACGCTCAACATCAACAGAAATTGATCGGTCTTCTTAAACCGTCTGCTCTGTTTTTAATGTTGTCTGCAGAGGGGCAATAAAAATTCTTCTTACTCTTTTTTTGGTGCGCCACAGGTCCAGTTTTTGCAGTCGCCTGCTGTTGAGCTCCTATATTTGCGTTGACATGATGACCTTCAAGCCTCCTTTGTAGGTCAACGCTCATTACCAATAGAGGCAAGCAATTTATTTTATTGTAAAAGTAAAAGTTCTTTACCAGCTTCGTGCACATTTGTTTATATTAACTAGTTTTTTGTATTCGATTAATTACAAGTAAATAGTTCTTTACTAGCCTTGTGCACATGGATTCTAATTCGAAATTACTCGTTTAAATTGATTTTTTGTATTTGATCATTTCCAAGTAATAGTAAAAAAACCTGAGTATTGCATCAAAAAAATTTTCTGACATTCACTGAACTATAACAATTGAGGCTTAACAACTGAGCTATAGTACTTAAATGTGTTAAATTTGAACCTCAATAGTGTGCAAGATAATATAGTTCACTTGTGTGGTTCACAGATGGTTTATAAGTAATATTTTGAGCGACATATTGCAGCTGTATAGACATAAGTTTCGTGTACAGAAAAACTGGATGGTTTTTAGTTTTTCTAGAATTACCAGAAGTTTTCTTCATTGCAATTTAAAATGGATACATAAATGGGTGTACGGCTTACATCTTTATAACTCGCGGAAATTTGCTGGAAATGAAAAGCTGGTCGACATTACGGTGATATCAGCTGGAAATTATCAGCTGATAGATATTATAGGGATATTGTACCTGGAAAATACCAGTTGGTAGACATTACGGGGACATCAGCTCGTAATGACAAGCTAACATAATTACATTCGTCTATGTAATTCTAATTAAAGGAAGTGGTAAATTTTTTTTCACTATCCTGACATTGTCTTCAGTTTCGTTGTCGACTAATGTAATGTCAACGATGCATCAAACTAAGTCCATTCTATCACATACACAATCACTCTCCTTGTGATGTTCATTGAAATAATTTTTTATTCAATTTACAAGGCATTGATTAGGAGATTATCGTAATTCGTGGATAATATTACCGTTTAGTTTCTGCATTAGTGAATATTATGTCTAAAACACGTGCATTTTTAACGTTTAAATCTATGGATCGACGAATTATAATTAATATGGAAACCTAATTACTTAGTAACTTAATTCGTTTTTTTTAGTTACTTTAGTATAGTCCTAAAGTAGAAATTTATGAGTACCGAAATAAATCGATTTTGCTTGAATAATGCAAGTTTTTTTCTCTTTCTAGGGAGCGATATTCGATGCATTTTGAAGTGGACCTTCAAACGCTCGAAATTTTTTTTTTACTCTCGAGACGCTGACACGATGAACGAACCTGGAGGCAGAGTTCCGCTCAAAGGTAATCATTATTGAGTGATAAAAAAAACTTTTGCCGATAACTTTATAAAAGGTTACTTATTGCAAGACTTGAGCATGAATAGCTGAGTCCAAGTCAGGAGGAAAAAGTTGTCAACCTTGGAACTGTTGACGATTTTTCCGGGCACGGAAATTTTTACAAAATACTAAATTAATGAGCGAAAAATAATGAGAAAAATTACGTTTTAAAAAATCATATTTATAAAAAATATTACTAAATAATTGTTGAAAATTGCAATGTAAATGAGTAAAGTTGCTGAATTTAGAATAAACATACTGAAAAAAGTGATAAAGCCTATAAAAACAATGAGAGTTTAATTTAAAATAAATCAATATAATGGCCAGCAGCGATGTCAGAGATCTATTGTGTGAACACGATACAATATTTTATCACGAACCTTGCCACATATACAAAACACCATTTAAATCTCTTTCAATTATTTATTTAGAAGATTTCAATTATTTGTTTTCAGTGAACTCATGGCTGTCGATTTTCATCACGTGCAGCTTCTTGCTAGCGGTATTATACGCCTGTCTTCAGGGTAATCAAAGTATAAAGTAATCATAATGAATGAAACAATTATTGAAATATTTTAAAGCATACAACTATATTTAAAAGATTACAGCTGTCCAGGCAATAAAATGGGAACTTATTTGCACTGATGTTCACCTATTTTATGTGCAGAATTCCTTGCATCAGACAGAGAAACGACTCAAAGCACAGCCTACGGCAACGCTGATTTGCTGTACGCTGAGCGTCTTCAAACGACCATGAAAGTTGGATGTTTTCCCGGCAACAACAATCCTGAGCTGCGATCTCTTTCACATTTGTAAATATTATTCGCTAAAAATTGCACTGGCTCTCCTGATGCGATTTTAACGAAAAATTGTTGTTGTTTTTCCGTGAGTAAAGAATTTATTATGGACTCTGGAGTCTATCACGTATGCGTGGGTGAATACATTCTACTTCCCCATCTATGGTATCATTTCTTAACCCTCTACCGCCGAATGTCACTCTCCGGGAACATAATTTTCAATTTTAATTATAAGTAAAGTATTAAATGTAGCAACCTGAGGACGTTTGTACGCAAAAGAGAAAATTTTAAAGTTGTCGTACGTGGCAGCAACTTTCAGTGCAAGTCATTTTGCGCTCACTAGAACGTATCCTTTTTGGGAAGTAGGCTTGTGACAATATTGCTCCGGTTACTCATGTCTGGCGGTAGAGGGTTAAGAGTTCTTTCCCACATGCATGTGTTGGTAAATTCACTTTGCTTCTTCATTTTTGGTGCCGCTTCTTTCAAGAAATCTAATTTTTAAGCTTAAATTTACCGTCTGGTAATTAAGATCTATGAATGACTTAATCTATACATGATTACATGAGTTTAATGCGTGGTTTTTTATATATGAAAATTGATTCTTCAAGAAATTGTTTCGTCTTGTAAATTGAAAAATATAATTTGTGATTTTACGATATAGATATAAGATATTTAAAGAAGTTTGAGTTTCCTGCGTTGAACTTTCATTTAATCATTATCGAAGAAGGCCCTTTCATTGCAAAATTTTCAACTTTTTCGCACGATTCGTCGTGCATTCATGAGCTATTTAAAAAGAAGAAGCGTTTTCCAAGTAAATAATTTATTTTCAAACATTATCCTTCGTTCATATAGCGTACTACATACAATGTAATGCACTACAAATCCACGAAAAATAACTACATATATGATATCAATATATTTAAAGTAATAACGTATTTTTTTTATTGCAGTGACATGACTCCTTTTCACACTTCGGACAAGAATATCTCAGCATCCGATAGCATCTGAAGTTTGTTTGATTTACGCCATCTTGAGGATAACCGCATTGCCTTGCGGCAAAGGATGCTAGGAAGTTTTAATTTAAAATATTACATAATAAAATATTACATAAATATCTATACTGTGTTTGGCGTTCCTATTATTACTTCTCTATTCAGCGGTGCTGATTATTTTTGGTCCTTGACAGCCTTTTCTTCTATGTATTTACAATTTCAATGCCACCTTGTCACTGTGTAGAAAGAAGTCCAAGCGAAAAAATGAAATGGTTTTGTTATTTGATAAATATAAATTTGGTTTTCACGAGGACTAAGAATTGTAATTTTCCTCAGAAATGAAACCAAAACGTAGAATTGCATCACATTTACTCGAGTCCAATACAATCTACACGTTACAAACATGACACACGTTACAAAACAGTGCCAATCATTGAGAGCCTTGTCAGTAAATGTGATGCAATTCTACGTTTTGGTTTCATTTCTGAGGAAAATTACAATTCTTAGTCCTCGTGAAAACCAAATTTATATTTATCAAATAACAAAACCATTTCATTTTTTCGCTTGGACTTCTTTCTACACAGTGACAAGGTGGCATTGAAATTATGAGGTGTCATATATCAGTTCAGCGTTCACTGGGCTGTAGGAACACACAAGCTATTTACGAAACATTGACGGTGATCATGATAGTTAGTTTAGAACTAAACCATTCTAAAATATTCTACTGACAGCGATGAAGCGAAGATCGTACAATGTTTAAGAACTTGTATTTTGTGTAAGTAATGAGTGTAAGGATGATTAGTTATTAATGGTATTAATACTGCCATTCAACATCCAAGCTTTAAATTCACATGCTGAAATTAAAAATTTTAATCTAGGAAGCATGGGTGATTGTTTACTATCGATAAAGAAACTAACAATTAAAATGTTTAAGCTTCGATTTAAGATGTTGAAATCAAACTTTTATTTGGGAAATCTCAAATATCTATCAATCTTAAGTGAAAAAATTAAAGTCCTGAGACCATGAATCTTAGATTGATTAATTTTGTTTACAATTTAAAAGGAACTATTCGTAGCTAAGTTGTGATCGTTGTAATCAACACGTAGAAAGCTTGGCAAAAGGCATGTGGTTTTGTCATACTATGAACTTTGGAAAAACAATAATAAAAGAAGTAACGAGTTAACTGCAATTCGCCTTGCAATAATGAAAATATTATCTATAATCGCTTAAAAACCATGAATTACTAAGTTCGCATTTTATTCTTATGTAATTTCGATGGAACATCATCTATAAAGAAGGAGTAAAACCCCTCAAATGGCAATTAATAGATGTTACGTCAGTAATGGAGGGGCGACTGTGCAAAAGTTTATGTATATCAATGACATTCTTGACATATAGAATATTAAATATAAGCACTTATGTCTTTATCAATGCAGTTATTAATTTTAATAGAACTAAAATACGGCACATTGAATTGGGGATCGGGGGTGAAAGTTTGGGAGCCGCAGTTCTGTTATAATATCGCATGATTCTTCTTGAAGTTTTCGTGTCAAAACAAGTTCACATGAAAAGGCCACTCGAATGAGCCAAAATAATACGTGTAAATGATAATTTCATAAGGTTGAAGGGTGATTGAATTTTTCAGATTATACAACTCAAGTATGTATGAGTTGAAGGCGAAAAATTAATAATAATAAAAGGTGGAATGATTGGGGAAAATTCTAATTATTTCAGCCCGAAATATTTGTTGTGCTACTGTGGTGGATGTTACTGGCGCGGTATTTTTAAGTATTGTGGCTAAATCGCGATTATCGTGATGTTCTATTTAAAGGCTGCGGAACTTTCTGCGATTGTCGTTTTGTGTCATTATGGTGACAATCATCGCGGTAATTCGCCACTGCTATCGTAATAATAATTATGATTGTCTCAGTAACCATTGATTTTGCCGTGGTATTTACTGTCTTTAAATTTATGAAAACGTTCCGAATGCAGTAGCTATTTGTATAGTGAATGTTTTGATGCAGATCGAAATTAACTAATTGAGAATATCGAAGTTCACACAATTAAACATAAAATGATTTCAATAAATTTCAAATCAGGATTATTTCATTAATGTACGAGGAACACGAACCAAATAGCATGAGAAGTTTGGCTGGCAGAGACGTTACCCTTCCTCGTTGAAGTGCTGTCTCTGACAAAACTCTTGACAGCGGCTGCTACAGGATACGCAGTGAACGCTTAGTATGTGCACTCACAGTGCCCAACCCTTGACGATTTCTATGTTCGGGCGACTCCCGGCCACTAGTCATGATCGCCAGTCGTGCAGCTTTAATTGTTCAGAGTACACCGAGAAAACAAATGGTAAAATATTTGTTGGAAGAAAAGCTTCATGTTCTTCTTTTTGTTACGATATCAATTATGTTAGCTCTAATGTCTGGAAATGAATGCTTGCTCAGAATTTGATAATTTTGGGCGAGAAAGTTTTCAAATCTTTTTGATTCCAAATACTTCGTTCCAAATTGGTTTTTATAATAATTGTTGTTGATATCATCCATAAATTATTGTCGTTCAAGAGCCTGCTCACCGAGTGAGGCAGAGGTAGTCGCAGTGAACGTAAGTGGTGCAGTACGTTTTAAGGCATAAAAACGTTTCGTGCAAGGCGTCCACGCGTAAAAAATATCTCTAACAGAGGCAAAGCACTACCTATGTATTCATTTGCTTCTAATAGTCCATCTGTAATTTATCTTTTATGAACAAACTGAGTATGGTGATCATAGACCTGGAATTCATGCCATTTTGTGCATTTTCGTAGAGATTTCTACTGTCATGATTGATGTCTGATTAATAAATCCGCTGCATTTTATGAGTTTGTACTAAGCATATAAATATAGGTTTATTTTAATACTAACCAAATGCAGGTATTCACATATTTACGTTACAAACACGTTTTGTACACAACTTATACGCAAGTAAAAAACGTTTAAAAAAATTCTTGAGACCGGACACATGCGCATGTTCAGTACGTTACCAACAAACCCATTTTAGCAGGACCGAAAACGTTGCTCTCCCTTCGCCCCGCAGTGATATTGCTCAGCAACTCAGCGCCTTGTCGTTGCACTGAACTTTACAATAAATGAACCTAAGGGACTATTAACAATGCAATGTACCACGTTTCAAAACTTTAGCCGTTGAGAATTACCTATTATCGCAGTTTAATCAACGATTTATCAAATTGAATGCAGACGCTAGAAACATTCGGCAACCGAGAGCGTGCGCAGCAGGGAGCGAGCGCTTGCTTAAATTAGTAACAAGAAATTGGTTGATTTATCTCAGCATGTTGCTTTTAAACAAAAGTAAATGCAAGAAATAGTGTGTATGAACAAGGTAGTTTTGATGAATATGTATTCAATTTTGGACAATATTATAATAAATGCACAGTCTGCAACGGTGCCGGTGACATCTTGGGCAGGAGGAGCATTAATTGTAAATGACTGGACGAATTTCTTGATTTAGTTAATAGAACGTCAAAAAACAATTTATAGAGAAATATTTTACTGAAGGCATGTTTGAATTTAAAGATTTGCTGGTCTGAGTGGGACTTTTAATAGAAATGAATTCAAGATTAAAACAAATAAACATGAACTTAAACAGCATGTTGAACACGACCTTGAGTCGCAACTTAGCTCCGGAACATGTCGAGACTTTAGGTGAAGCGATTTATACTGAAACGTGTGCATATTTAGCACTCTCAAGTTCTTTTCAACACATATAAAATCAATCAATCTAACATTCATGGTTTCGGGACTTTAATTTTTTCGCTATTTTTCGTCACCTATGAAGGATAGATATTTTTTGAAAAATTTTGATTTCAACATCCCAAATCTAAGCTTCAAGATTTCAAGTGTAAGTTTCTTTATCGATGCTAAATAACTAATCAAGCTTCCAAAATTAAAATTTTTGATTTTAGCATCCAAATTTTTAGCATAGATATATTGAATGACGGTTTAATACCGGCAATATTAAATTAATCACACAAAATACAAGGTTTTCAACATTGTACGCATTTCGCATCATCGCTGCCGGTAAAATATTTTAGAACGGTTTTAGTTCTAAACTAAATATTATGATTACGTTAGTGTTTCGTAAATCGCCAATGTTCCTACTGCACTTAACTCACACGGCCGCGAGAAAACAACTGAATACCGACCATAAATACTTTTTATTGCCGTGGATGCTATGATAATATTTGAAGCTGCGCTATTAGCACTAGGAAGAAATTATTAAACTATTCTATTTTGACATAGTTTCTACTAGAGACAGGATACTTCCATTTACAGTGGCGACTCATGTGTTTTACGGTACATTGTCAAGCTCGTACAATCCAGCGAATATGAACAGAAACCAATAATAATTGTTTATATTGTGCTCCTAATTCCATGGAAAATTTCGAATATAAATAAAATAATTTTCTAACCTTCCAAATTGTTCGTAAGCATGTATTCTACTTTCGAATCATTTTCTAATGATGCACTTCAATTCTCTTATTTTATATTGTAGAATACTGTTCTGTAGAAGACGAAACATAAACTAAAATAATAATAACATCGAGTAACAAGCAACACCAGATTGTTTTTTTACTCCTAGTGCTGTTATAACTTAATATAATGTCCTATAGAATATACATGTCCTTCATACATGAATAATAATGTCCTATAGAATATACATGTAGAACTAGACTGTTTCGATGCATTTTACCATGAAAAGTTGCAAATTAAGGTCTTAAATGTGCTCCGATGTTACTACAATATTCAGTTGATGTCTGCATAATGTAATTTTGTATAACTCCGGCCGAAGCAATTTTTATTGACATGTTTAAGCTCTCAAATTTCATATGAATATCCAATACCCCCATTTTTTAAATTTTCCATTCGATGAACAATTATTTGCAAATTATTCCTGCGATTCACATTTTAATTAATTTGCGATATTACATCACACACCTGCTATTACTACATCGATGAAGATTTACTAGCTAAAAGACAAAACATTTTGGAGCATGATTGACTTAATGTCACAAGCGAGGACATCAATATATGTACCATACTGGTAGCTCGCTCTCGACGACATATGGCTTACTCCAATTGAACCCCATCGCACGGAGTATCTTTCGTGCAAAATGTTGGCAGTTGTTTAGCAAGCCGTCAAATCGGCTGTGAACTAGTGCATTGAACGCTGTCTTCAACACAAGGATGAGATCCTCAACTGTCTCAAGATCATCGTTCTTGCCAAGAGACTCTGATTTAATACCGCAGTTGCCACTGATACGTTTTTCTTTCATGGATTTCTCAATGACTGCTCTTTCTTCAAGACTTCTTTGAACCAAAATACCCTCTTCATATCGCTCGAAGGACCAGTATGCTCGCCCAATGCGTATAGTTACATATACATGATATGCACCAAAGAGACTGCCTAAAACCCTGTTGCTCGCTGTTGAAGACTGGCTGCTTCCCAGAGGAACACTGTGTACCTTAACCGCACCCACATCTGCACCATCAACTTTGGCGCACTTCGTCATCACTTCCCACATCAGACGCAGAGGTATTTGCTGGATGTCTCCAATTTTTCGGTTTGCTCTCGCGTCGAAAAAAATTGGCGATGGTGGAACTGCAAGATCTGAATAAGCGACACAATCAGCATATTTTTTATTTCCTGTTGCCATACTCGCATGAGAAATTGAAGTGAGAATATACCTCGCACAAATACTCTGATACTTAACAGGCAGGAGTCGCCAATAAGTTTTTTCATGAATTTTTCGATTTCTGCTTCTCCTGACAATTTTTTTGCACCAAAATATAATCATTATAATGCTCAAAGGACCACCAAGCTCGACCAATATGTATGGTTACAAACAAATGATCTACACTGCAGGTAACGCCCAAAGCAAACCACCGCATAAAAGACGTCTGGCAGCTTTCCGGCTGAACAGTATATATATATGCACCTTTTAACTTCACCCAAATCTGTACCTTCTGGTCTATTGAAACGATACATCGTTTCCCACAGTTGACCTGGCGATATCTTGTCGACTTGTCCGGTTTCTTGCTCTGTTCTCGGATCGAACAAGATCCGAAGATGAATCTGAAAGGTAATGTCTGAATTAATGACCCGATGAGCTTCTTATTTTTTTAGATGTAAAACTTAAGAAATTAAAAGTATAAGATAGGTACACAAGTGTAATTGAAGAGGGTAAGTATCTTAAAGAGAAGAATGCAGTTAAAAATTCGGAAAGATATTTCTAATAATTTTTCAAAATTCGTGCCAATCTTGAACCAATCTCTAAAAAAATATTAAAACCAGTACGGAAAGATGCCGCAAAATATGTCTTAGCAATTTTCATGATAATTCCATGAAGCAATCATTCACAGTCTATAAATCCTTTACCTCTAACAAAATTAGCATTTGTAACTATTGAGATAATTTATCGACTGTTGTCTTCACATTGAAACCGAATCACTGAAATCTCACCTTCCAAAATGCCAACCAAAATTCTGCTTAAGTAAAAGAATCCTCAAATTTTTCTTTGGCGAAATTCTCAACTGGTGCTCCAGCCTGCACAAAATTAGACCAATGTAAGAGAAGTTCACTCACAGACCCCTGAATGATGATTCAGAATTTTCCAAGGAGATTTGTAAGCAGAAAAGCGAAATTTATAAAAGAATGAAAAAAAAAGAATCGCACAAATTCAGTAATGAAAATATGTTGTAAAAGGTAGCTGATTACAATTTTAATTCGTAAATGAGCAGGGTTTAAAATAGAAATTATTAAGATACATTGTGAAAGTGAAATAAAGCAAAACAAATTGTTAAGCAGGGTGAATAGTAATTTTAAAAGAGTTGAGGTGTAGTTTATAACGATGAAGTGGAGCGAGGAGAGAATGAATGTGTCGAATTTCACGCCTATGTTATTATCACTGCGATAATGAGCAATCAATTATGACGCCAATAATATAATTAGTACAATCAATATGACTCACTACGAATGCGTATGTTCTTTCCGTTTTTATCAAATTATTGAACGTTTGCACAGAAATCTAACTCGAATGAACCGTTGTACCGATCTGAAAATTTCTTCTCTGATGATTCAATTTTGTAAGTAAAATTACACTAATAGAGATGCTTTTGGATTAAAAAAATGAATAATGATCAATGTGATGATATATTATTAGCAAAGGGTGACGACAATTAAAAAAAGGGGCTGTGACAGTGATGGCACTGGTCGACAAGAAACACAAAAAAATATAAAAAATGGTTCTGGACTAAATGAATGTGAGTATAGGGAATTCGATCATGCTGAACTCGAATCTGATATAAAAAGTACTCCTCGCCGCAAACAGATTTGAGGAATCAGAAAACATTGGCTTCATCAATGCTTATAGTTTAAGCTGAAGATGTAAACTCTTCTCCAGAGCCTTAGGATACAGCAGAATCGCAGAGTAAAAAAATTGTATTTATCTTTGCACCATAAAGTACTTGATTTAATGAAGTCACAATTTTACTTAGTTTTGCGCGCCATATTTAGCACCTTGTATTGGGTTGTGATGAAGCGCCGTTAATGCAGCGAAAACCTTTTTTTCTATTATACCTGTGGACTTTATACCCCTATCAGTGTGAAAAAACTGTTAAAAAGAATGATAAATTTGTTTGTATGCATTCCTTTAGGTGCCGTATTGGTGATCAATATAAAAAGATGTCCCTTCACGAAGCATGCAAATCCAGTGTAATTTAACCACCTAAATGAAGAATGCGTTACCATTTGTCATCCCAATGATTTGGCGTGAATAAAAGGATCACAGACTTTTTTTATTCACAGTACCGACTGCTTCTTCTGCAACACTAACACACACGATATACAGTGGAATGCAAACTAATATCAATCTGACCGGTGCCAAATGGTCCATATCTCAATAGGTTCCAAATGCTCCAAGCGCAAGTGATATGAGTGGATCAAATTCGAATGAGTAGGATATTCCCATATATACAGACTCTTAAAAAATGGCCCACTACAAAGAAACCAAACTCATCAGTCGGGAAATGATGCATGACCTCGATCTACCCAAAGCTAGAGACCATAGATCTACCCAAAGCTAGAGACCATAAATCTACCCAAAGCTAGAGGCCATAGATCTACCCAAAGAGAAAAGTGATCTCATCTCGAGGATCTTCCTTGGATCTCATCTCAAGGAACGGAATTTGCTACAAGAGATTACCACTTTACGTCGCAGACATAAAGAAGTGTTAAAGTTCTTCTCTATAGAACAGAAACTTGCTTCTAGGACTCCAGTTAGGTTATAATAAGTAAATGCGTTTTCCTTATTTGTGGGTGTACATTGATACTTCTGAGTGCTTCGTATAGTTTTAATAATGTGTATAATTAATACCAATTTGAGATCTTGACTGTTCTTCTGAAGCACAAAATCTATCTGATTGTTCCTTAAACTAGCGTTTTTATGTTCATTTGTGTTACATATAAAAATCTAATTATTTTTCTTTGTGTATTATGTTTATTTATGCATGAAGTTCTAATATAGCCACAGACGCTAACAAAATTCAATTACAAATAATTATAGGGGGATTGTTTCGATTAAATCCATAATTATAATAATCAATTAAATCCATAATAACTACTATTTATATTTTATTTATAAATGCCAAAATTTCGAAAACCAGCTGTGCTAGCGATAAAACAAAGCAATTTTTGAATTCAGCAGTTAAAATTCCTTCCAACTCACACAAAATGATCTCAGAACAATTTTTTATGTTAACCAGTGTAGTCGTGCACATGAATACATTGAATTCAATAATATTGCCGCTTTTTCCGTGTGGATTATCATTGTACTCAACTCTCAAATTCTCATCCTCACTCTCATTCTCATTCAAACTCTCAAAATTCTCATCATTGTACTCAACTCATCAACTCTCAAGCATTCAATTCTCAAATTGAATAAAATATGTTATAACTATTTTTAGTGCAGCATTATTTAATAACTGCGACACATTACTTGTTTCCCGGGATATCTAGCACCGCAAGTCGACACATCAATAACTGAGCGCAAAACAAACGAAAGTTATTAATGAAAGAAAATTATATAATAATAGCAGGCTGCTATATCTATTGGAGAGCTATGTGGGATCATGGGCCGAGTAGAAAAATTTTGTTACAGTAGCAGCAAGTTCAGTTTTCAACACATTCTGAAATGGAAACTGTAGTAAATTTCAGACAAATAAACGTGAAATTATTATATTCAAGCCTGAGATCATTATGAGAGTGACAAAAGAAGTAAATAAGTCGGAAAAGTTTTGTTAACACGACATTCAATTTGTGTAATATATCTGCCCTTTTTGTATGTTGGTGGTACATTCTTTAAAACTCGTGCTAACTGCTACATATCTTGACTACCGTGATATCTATCACGTCGACTATTAAGGGAAAAATCAGCGAAAAGCGATGTAAGTAACCAATGGATCAAAATTGGTTCCTAAAAAGACACAATAATATCGACTGGGGCGAAGTGCGAGACAAGTACCGTCAAAGGCGTCAATGACACGCAAGTCATCACTCAGCAATCTACCGCACTTTACTTGCCGCTCGTCTATAAAAACATTACAATATCTGCAAGAAGTACGATTTGAAGGGTTCGATTGTCACGTAATAACTAAGAAGCTTTTTCGAAAGCGCTACAAAGAGTTGGCTCAGTTTTGTTAATAAAATAGAACGTTTTATCTGAAGGCCGGCAACAAAAGAGAGAAGTCAAAGAATTTTCATCACATTCAGGAATAAGAAACTGCAACATATCTCACACCAGCAATCATCAAGTCAATTTTATGTATTAAAAACCGATATTATTAGAGGGACACAAAGCAAAACTGGCTCCAAAGATTGGCCAACAGAGACCGAAACCTTCCTCGATGCGTGCCGAACTGCCACTGAAAAGCGCAGTCACGGAACGTTTTGAACGGAGCAGGCTGCACAGAGCACAACTCTCAGAGACGTCTCTGTTCCTTAATTTCTTGTCATAATTAAGAGAAAAAGTCAAATTAAAAGGAGAAGTAAACGATAAAAATTCAAGGTATACAATCAAATTATTTCGGAAAGTAAATTTCAGCCGATGTGTTAACTTCAGATGTGACTTAATTAACACGTTGACTACGATTGCTTCATCGTGTACTATTATTTCATGTTTTGTACTTTTTTAAGCAGGGTTGCCAGACGGTCATTTTTTCCGGACAAATTCCGCGATTCAGTTTTTCTCAATTGCGTTGGCCGGCTAAAATTTATGATAGGGGTACTTCCTAATTAAATTTTAAATACTGCAAATAGAAAATAAATGGAATTTTTATAGTGGAACCTACAAATAAACTAGTATACATTGAATTATCGGTCTTTTTTGGCCTTTTTTATTCTCGGATTTGGCCGATTTTAGGCAACCTGAATTTTGTACCACTACCTCCTGGAGAAATACATTTCGTGGTACGCATATGTACCAGTACGTAGTCAACGTGTTAAATTCACTTGAAATTTCACCAGAAAGAAACTTTTTCACGGACAAATTCTACGTGATGAACGTTGGCTGAGATGATGGATTGATAAGCCTTAAAGCTTAAAAATGGTTTGGAAATGAAATGGTCTGCGATCAATTATGTTGATCAACGCTCATAATGAAGTAAGAAAACAAAATGCAAAAATATAATTGTGAACTGATTTGCCGAAGTTTGGGATTACACCCTCATATCGTTGCGACGATTGAGACCGACTGTCTTCGTTTCATCGATAAGACAGTGCTACTGCTGCTTACGCTTCAGTCAACTAGTTGGCATCCATACATAAATGGAAGCACAGAAGTAGGGTTGTGTGGGACTAGAAGGCGACATAAAATCAAATTTAAAAAATTAGATTGTAAATCAGGAGTCGTCAGAGATTAGTGGTCGACCATAAATTGAAGTTAATTAAGAGAAAGTAACTTCTTCAGCTCATCACTGACTGCTTTTCAAACCTTACCACCCAACAGGTGTGAGAGGTTGAAACAATATTAACTACGAGTTGATTTCAAGTTGAAATTTAACAATCAGCAATAAACATAAAATCGACGTCGAAACGTGAGCAACACTATGACTATAAGAAACATAAAAAAACATAATTTCAACATTAAAGCAACGTCGATCATGGGAAATTAAATTTGGATCTATAATCTATTTTCTACCAGCTATTCAACGTTAAAATTTGAACAAATACAGGTTATCAATGAGGTCTTCTAATGTGGCTATAACTGTCGAGCATTTGTCAGACGTCACCATACACGTCATGTACAACTCTTATAGTATCATGCTGAATTATTTTAACACAAATTTATTAAGATGAATATTTGCTAAGAATTCAAACGTTTCAAATATTTTTTAATTTTGAATTATTTATTGCTAATTGGTTTCTACAACCATGTTAATATATATCATGAAACTAGTATCATTCCGCTCAAGTACCTACACCCTGAATTATGCAGGAATAGTCGGTGTAAACAAAAGTGGTGCAATTCGATAGACTTGCTTAATTATATGGCGAAGCCGCTCTTCGTCAGGTTATTATTATTATTATTATTCCACGAAGAGATTGTCGTGGCGTCTCGTTCGGATCGAACTTCGAGGGCACGTTACAAGTGGC